CTAGTAAAACTCCCCAATTAAGCATGCTTAGGCCGAAGTAATTTTGGGATAGATGACCCACCGGGAAGAACAAATCCATGCGGGCGTGGCCCAAAATAGATAATATCGATGACATGTGAAGGGTTGGGACATTACAAAATACACTTTGATCTATCGATCTGTACACCCTAGTCTCTTTAATAAAAAGAGAGAGCACGTTGAGGGCTTTGTTCTAATCGGAGAAGTTCGTGTTTTTGGCTCCGTCAAGTTCTACCCATCTTTCCTTTGGGTCTTCTTCTTTGAGGTAGTGATTATTTTTTACTCTTTTTATGATTTTTAACTTAGTTATTTGTCTTTTAAAAACAATATGGTGATTTAGGGATTTTGATAAAAATCTAAGGTTTTGGTTAAAAATCAAAAGAGGTTTTCAAAATGGGTTCTTAAATTTGTATATGGATTTGTAAATGTTACTGAGTTTGGGGTTGATCTTTAAAAAAAATTAATTTTGCCCTTATTTGTGAACATTTGATTTTTTGTAAAGAGAAAAACAGAATTGACGTTGGTTTTATGAAATTAGAACGATGATGATGATGGTTGTGGAGTTAGATATGAATTATCACTCATATTTGGAAATGTTGGAAAGTGTATCTATATTGAAAATTATTTATTTGCTTAGAGATATTTGTTTTGGGCTATCGGTGGAGAATAGTTATGATTGTTGTAGAAATTGCATGAGAATTAGGTGAATTAAAAATAATTTCTCATCCATTTGCATTGAGCACTGTAACATATTTAACACATTGGAAATGTTTATTGTTTTGAGAAAAATGGGTAAATACCTTGGTGAATCTGGGTAGGGAGTGTGATTGTGGTATTAAGTTGGCCAATGTGTCCTTTGTAAAAGTCCAGAAACTGGCACAGATAGGTGCTAGGCCTTTCGATTAGTACCAGTAAAAATGGCAATTTGTAGTTCTTGTAGCTTACTTGCAGACACATCCTAGAGATTCCTAGTGTTGTATCCATTGTCCTGTTTTTTGTTGTAAAGGAAATGATTTCATAAATTGTGATATAACCTGGCATTGCATGATTTTGGAAAGAGACACCAAATGTTTTGACATGAGCATTGCATATGCATTCACTTTATAACTCTGTTAAGATTCATACACTGTGTTAGAGTATCTTTACTGAGCTTTGGCTCACCCTATATGGAAAACTATTTTCAGGTGCTGATGATATGCCTCTGCCAAGGCAGTAGCTTGGGATTATGTTATTGTTGTATTTATTTTGTATAAGCCTAAGGTATTATTTGTATTGAGTTTCAAACTCACTTTTTGTTGTAACCAAGCACTGTTTTGGAAAGTTGTAGCCACTAAGGCAATTATATATCTATTTAACTTTTATTTCATATATTTTGTTTAAAACACATGCTATAGATTCAGGGTTAGGACTTATGAATGTATGAATGCACGTGTTACTCTATTGTACACTTGAAGTATATGAATCAAAGGACTTTATTCTCGGATTATGATGTTGTTTAATTGATCATTACTCTCGTTTTATTGTAATTATTTCGGAGCGTTACAGACCGAGTGCCCCAAAATTTATAATTATAATTTTTTATTTATATTTATTAAGATTTTAGAATTGTAAACAAAAATTTGTTTGATTTTTATTTTTTATTTTTAAAAATTTACAAGAAATTTGTATTGTTGAATGTTCAAATGCACAATGCACACATTGTTTCTTATATTGAATTTCATTGTCTTTTTATTTATGTATTTACTTGTTTATTTGTTGGATCTTGCTAACAAGTGCTCTTAGGATATAAGTAAAAGATAAAAATTGTGAACAACACAAAACACTTTTCACCAAATTCAATATATTTTTATTAAAATCAATACATTTTTTAAACATTTTAATATATTTTTGAAGAGACTTTTTAAACGCTTTCCAACATTAAACAATGTTCGTGGAGCACTTATTAGCATTTGCCTTATTTATTTATTTTGCATATTGTGATATTAATATATATTTTTATATATTTTATATTTATTTACTTGAATTATGCACATATCGCATGTATCCAGTGGCTAGTCTATATATAGATATATGGTGGAGTTAGTCATACTTAAATGGTAGCTTGTAATTTTTATATTCTTATTAATTATTTATTAATTGACATTCTCTCCCTAAAATATATAATAATAATAACAACAATAACAATAACAACAATAATAATAATGTAGCCCCATATATATATATATATATATGTATATTAGGATAGGAATGACAATTTCTCATTGACTCATTTCATCCCCACCCTATCTCGCTCTGCACGTTTTTTTCTTGCCTTAATGTAAAAGCAAGGTGAGAATGAATTTTCCTCTCCATACCACTAGGGGTGTAATTTTGGCATGTAGCCTGCTGGCGGCTCGAAGCCCGCCCGTGGCCCGAGGTGGGCTTGGCCCGTTAAGGCCTGAGCCCAAGCCCAATCCGAGACCCGCCCAAAGTTCGAATATCCCTAGGCTTGGGCTTGGGTCTGGGCCTAGTTTTCTGGTTCGTGGGCCGGTTCGTCCCGAATTTTTGGCAGGAGCTCGCAAGGCCCGGCATGGGCCTGACCCAGTCCTAGCGCGGATGGGTCAGGCCATGCCAAAATTACACCCATACACACCACATTTTATTGTGCTCAGTGCCAATTATATTTATTAATATATTTATATGCATAGAATATACATAATTTAATTTTCTTAAATATGATAAGAGCGAAATACTAAAAGATTAAACATTTATTTTTTCTTATTTGTTTATCATGTTACATTTTTTAAGTATTATTAGTTGTAAATTATTATTCATAGTATATCAAAACATCTCTAATTTTTATTAATATTATAATTTTTGAGATTATAAAATTAGCCCATTCCACTATCTCTATCATATGATTCAAAATACCACAAATCCATCTCATTGCCATCTACTTAGGGATGACATTGATAATTTGCCTAACTTGCCCACTCTAGCTTAATATTTTCAGAATATTAATTATAATTTTTTATTATTTTTGTTATAAAATAAAGTAAAATAATATATAAAAGACAAAAAAACAAAAAAAAATATATACACTTATTTCTATGACTTAAATAAAATATTTGTTAAAAATTATCATTAAATTTTATTAACTATTCAAAATCAAATGAATAAATAAAATAATTTAATATTCATTAAAGACAAAAATAAAAAATTAATAACTAAGTGGGTCCGTTAGGGTTTGAATTTTTTTAACACCAAATTTGGAATGGCTAGATTATGCCCAATGTCATACTTGATCGTGGCTTGAGATGACCACATATTTGGGGTGTTTGTTACAACTTAATAGAGGTAATTATAATTTATTTTAATTTAAGAGTTTGTTTCAGATTGTTTAGTGTAATTTTTGCTTATAACTTATTAAGCAAAAATAACTTAAATAATTTGATTATTTAGAAGTTGAGGAATAGGTGCTTTTAACTTATACTTTTTAATTATCAGTTTTCTAACTTTTAATAATTTATAGTAAACATGGCCATTGTCTTATTATATAAGTTGCTTTAGGTATGACTTATAAGCTATTTTTTTTGCTTATTAGAAAGATGTGTAAAAATATAGAGAGATAATATGACTTATATAAGCCAATAAGGCAATAAGCTAACTTTCTTAGTGCTCGTTTGGGATGAGCTAATTTAGTATGACTTCTTCTTCTTCTTCTTTTTTTATTTATTTTTTATTTTAGGGTTGTTTTTGGATTTGCATATTTTTTTGACTTATTTTTTTGGTGCTAATTTTGTCTTTAGTGAGCTTTTTAAAAAAAAATTGGAAAAAGTTTAGATTTTTATATTCAACTTGACAAGATGAATTGAAAAATTAAAATTTTTAATTTAAAAAAAAAATCAAAAAAGACAAAAATAAGCAATTTGTTTTTGTTTATTTTGGCTTTTTCAAATTGTTTTTTGAAATTTTTCAAAAAATATACTTTTTAAATTCCTCTCAATATGATGAGTCAGAAAAGTTAAAAATTTTAACATAATTTTGAAAAAAAAAATACTAAAGACAAAAAAAATTCAAAAAAAGAGGTGATTTTTTTTTTTATTGTCAAAAGAGACTAAACGTGACTAAAAAAATTGTGTTTGACATAAATTTTGACTTTTTCTTTAATTTATTTAATATTTGTAAAATAAAAAATAAAATTATTATAATTTAAATATGATATTATATCTTATTAATTAATTTAATTTAATTTATCTTATCTTTATTCGCCAATTTAGCCAACATAATTAATGCTGAACTTCAAGCCCAGCTCTTGATTTGTCCACCGCCCTTAGAGATGGTTAAAATTATTTATTAAAGTGTATTATATAACAACAAGTGGAGGCTAAAAATATGTATTAAGGTGTGTTAAAAGTTTGTTAATTTTAAAGAATGATTGGTGGTGCAATGAATATGTTAAGATGTGTATTAAGTGTGTGTATATATATATATATAAATAATAAATAAAATAAATAAATGAGCCAAGATATGTCTATAGCTCTTCTTCTCAGTTGAGAATATATATATACATATATATGACCATGTTTCAATAATTTCTCACAAGATTTGGAGCTCTATCTCTCTCTCTCAAACTGATACAGAATAGCAAGGATTCGGACGTCCGACCAGACATCTGGCCAGACGACCTCATTACACTTTCCCCTCCCTCTCTCTATTTCTTTTTCTCTTTTCTCTCTCTCTCGCTGGTTAGAAACCTCGTTACAATTATCAAATAAATTAACAGCTGACCCTAGTTGATACTAACACACCCCTTAAACATCATTTAAGCTTTTCACTAACTAAAATGTTAACAGTTGACATTAACACACCCTTAACAATTTCACTGTACATGCTCTTACATCTACTGCTGCCTCTCGAGGATTAAGTCCTAAAACAGCAGCTCCAATAATGGAAATAACGCAAAAACATAAACATATCAAAGCGATTTACATTCAGAGAGAAAACAAGGAAAACCTTTAGCAACACAAACTTAGATGTGCGTGAATTTTACACTCGTATAAGAAAGTTGGTAAAAATTTTAATAAATTATTTGGTATCCTACCATAACTCGACATATATACAAAACTGTAGAGACAGAGAAAATAGGAATTACATATACATATATATATATATAGATCTATATAGACAGAGAAAGTGTAGAGAGAGAGAAGCGGGCAACGCCGGGATCGATTGGTTGTGATTGAGCGATTAATCCATCGGGAGCGAAAGTTTAGGGTATTCGTGTCGCGCGTGTGTATGTATGGGGAGTGGAACATTCGTGGACGGCGTTCGTCGCTGGTTTCAACGTCGATCTTCATCATCGTCGTCATCATCATCATCGACGGTCTTTGTTAATAATAGTATTAACGATATTCCTAAGCTCAAAAACAATGATAACCAAGTACTGCCCAACCAATTTGAAGAACACGAGGACTTGGGTTTGAAGCTAATCAAAGTGCCCAACCGACTCCATTTCCCTCCCACGTCCATGGATCCTCACAAAAAAGTCTCTCTCTCTCTCTCTGTCTCTCTCTCCAGATCCCCTCTGTGTTGGGTTTTCTTTCCCAATTTTACTCTTTTTAATCTAATTGATTTGTTATTTCTTGCTTTGAAAGTAGTTTTGTTGATTAAATTAATGGTTTAATATTCCAGTACAATCTATTGATCTGATGTTATTCTTTTGAACGGCATTTTCTTTATGTCCCTTATGATATGACTGAGAGCCATTTATTTGCTTAATTTCCTTTATATAGTTTACTGGTGTCTACTTGATCTTAAAAATATATTTGTATGTATATGTTTCTTAATTGCATCTACAACATATTTAATTATGATGACATAGGTACTTTTGCTTTCTGCAGCCTGTACATTGGAGAGTTTTGAAGTGCATCTAGCCGATAAATAGTGAATCATGTTATCTCCCTTTGCTAGTGTGCTTTCTAACTAGTATACCAACTTATCATACTCTATGTTTGTCCAAGTAAAGAAAACTCATGTAAAAGATGGGCACCTGCCCTTTTGGATAAAATGGGATATGCAGCACTATGATTACAACATTGTATCTTGTGTGGGGAAAAATTTGATCACAGTGCTTGAGGTTGATGAGTACGAACTCTGGTGTTGCTAAAGCTGTCTGCAACCACGAGAACAATGAGTACTTGCCGGCTGGAGTGTTCAGACGGGGGCACTCCGATGCTTAACTCAGTAGCTGTAAGCAGCTCTCACGATATCACTATACTTTTTTTGAGTGTTGGTGAACATGTACCTGAACCTTGGTTGCTGGTTGTTCTTGTTAATTTTCTGAATAAAATTGTATATTCAATTGTGTTTTAGTATAATGTATACATCTGATATATATAACAATTCTAGACCTAATCCTAAATAGAAAATAAGAATAAACCTAAACTAGTCCTAAATAGGAAACAAGAATAAACTTAAATCAGTCCTAAATAGGAAACAAATAAACCTAAACCAATCCTAAATAGAAAACAATATTCACATAATATATACTATACTAATATTATTCTCACACCCCCGCTCAAACTTAAGGTGTTTGGGTAGAAAATACTGAGAGTTTCCCGAGAAGAAAATGAAACTGAGTAGTGGTGTGAATCTTGGTAAAGAAATCAGCAAGTTGCAGAGCCGAAGAGACGAAAGGAAGCGAGATAGAGCCAAACTATAGATGCTAACAAACAAAGTGACAGTCAATCTCAATGTGCTTGGTCCTCTCATGGAAGACAGTGTTATGTGCAATCTGAATAGCACTACGGTTGTCACAATAGAGGGAGGTCGGAGAAGACTGAGGGACGCTCAAGTCAGAGACAAGACAAGGAAGCCAGACAACTTCAGCAATCACATGAGCCATAGCACGATACTCAGCTTCAGCAGTAGAGTGAGCAACAACAGTTTGTTTCTTACTTTTCTCAGAGATCATGGAATCGCCAAAAAACATACAGAAACCAGACGTGGACTTGCGATTAATAACATCATTAGTCCAATCAAAATCAGCATAGGCCACCAAATCCAGAGATGAAGTAGATGACAATAGTAAACCCTGAAATGTAGTACCTCGAAGATAGTGAAAAATTCGAACCACTGCAGCCTAATGTGTGGAATGAGGAGTAGAGACAAACTGGCTAACCACATGAACAACGTAGGTAAGATTAGGACGAGTAACTTTTAGATAGACTAGTAACACACGAGCTTTCGATATAGGGTAGGATCATCCAGAAGAACACCATCAGTAGTGTTATGCTTTACATTAAGCTCAATGGGGATACCAGAAATCTTAGTGTCAGTAGGACCGGCACGATGAATAACCTCATTGGCATACTTGGCCTGAGAGAGAAAGTAGCCCTTGGGAGAAGAAGTTACCTCAATACTAAGAAAATACCGCAATAGGTCCAGATCCTTCATTTCAAAGGTGCGAAAAAGTTACTGCTTGACCTTAGATATAACAGAAGAGTTCAGAACCAGTGATGATCATATCATCCATATACAGTAATAATGCAACAAATCTAGTAGAGGTGTGGAGAAGAAATAAAGCAGAGTCCTGGGCACAAGGATGAAACCTAAGCTCAGTAACAGCAGTCTGAAAGTGGTCATACTAATCACAAAGAGACTGCTTCAGACTATACAGAGCATGCCAAAGGTGACCTGTCTATAGGAATGGTGAAGGCCAAGGGGAAGACTCATGTAATCCTCATCAGTGAGATGACCATTAAGAAAAGCATTCTTAACATCCATCTGATAAAGAGGCCAAGAACGAACAGCAGCGACAGAGATTAAAGTACGGACAGTAGTTATCTTGGCAACAGAAGCAAAGGTCTCCTCATAATCAATACTATACTCTTGTGAAAAATCTTTGGCAACTAGACGAGCTTTGTAACACTCAAGAGAACTATCAGAATCAGTGTTTTGAAAAGCGCGCTTAGGCGTGTGCCTAAGCCCAAAGCGAGACAAAGCACAACTTTGTGCCTCAAGCATGGCGAGGCGAGGCGACATGGGCGAGGCGCAGATGAGGCGACGAAGCGCGCGCTTTATTATGAAGCTCGAGGCATGCGCTTCATGTGCTTCAAATTTATTTCACTCCAACAACCCCATTTGTTTACTGTGTGGACACCCACATGGGATGACATCTCATTTACATTATAAAATGATACAAATGTGGGTCAAAAGAGCAAAAACATTTTAAAAAGCCCTAGTGGAGAAGAAGAAGAAGAAGAAGAAGAAGAAGAAGAAGAAGTGACGTTGTGAAGAGTATACGACACGCCAAATACACAGGTTCTCTTCTCCTTTTCTTCTCTTCTCTCTTCTCTGGTTCTCTTTTCTTTTGGTTCGACTGTTCTTCTCTTCTCTCTCTTCTCCTCTTCTTCTCTTCTTCACTTCTCTGGTTCTCTTCTCTACCTCTGTTATACTCTGTTTTTTTTTTTTTTTTTTGCTTCATTCTTCTCTTCTGGTTCGATTGTTCTTCTCTTCTCTCTCTTCTCTAGTTCTCTTCTCTGCCTCTGTTATACTCTGCTTTTTTTTTAGCTTCATTCTTCTCTTTTGGTTCGATTGTTCTTCTCTTCTCTCTCTTCTCCTCTTCTTCTCTTCTCTAGTTCACTTCTCTGCCTTTGTGCTACTTTGTTTTTTTTGCTTCATTCTTGTCTTCTGGTTTGACTGTTCTTCTCTTCTCTGGTTCTTTTCTATGCCTTTATTCTACTTTTTTTTTTTGCTTTATTTTTTTGGTCTTCTTCTCTTCTCGTCTTCTTCTCCTATTCTCTGCTCTGCTCTTATCTGTTCTTCTTCTCTTGCTCTCTTTTTTTTTCCTCCTCTGTTCTACTCTGTTTTTTCTCCCTGTCAAAAAAATAATAATAATAAAATGAACACTAAATCAGTGCTTATAGTCACAATAGGTACATACATAATAAATGACAACACCCGAGGGTGGAAAAAAAATCTAGCATGGAAGTATGCAACGATGGTAAATCCTGAAAATCTAAGCAAGTTCAAGTGTAATTTTTGTGGGAAAGAGATGAATGGGGGTGTTTACCGAGTTAAGCAACATCTTGTTGGAGGGTATAGGAATGTAATTAAATGTCCAAAAAAAAGCAACTGAAGGATCAATTGAACTTGATGCCTGACTTTGATGAAATGGTCAACGAAGAAGATTTTGAGGATGAGGATGATGTTGTAGAAATCTCTCCACTTGGTAAACAGCCTGTTCCTATTCAAGGTTCTACTCGAAAAACTACCTCTGCTTCTATTCGATTGAAACCTAAAAAGCTTAGGAAGATAGGGCCCATGGATTGTTTCTTCACACCTGAGCCAGAGTTAGTGGTGCAAAAAACAAAAGGCAAGGGAAAGCAAATTAAAATTGATGAAAATGATCCTTATAGAAAAGTGTTAATGGAGAGGGCCTATGTCAGAATTGCAAGATGGATATATGATACTGGAATTTCGTTTAATTTAGTCAATAATGAAAGTTTTGCACCAATGATTGAAGCCATAGGACAATTTGGTCCAGGTTTGAAACCACCAAGTTACCACATGATACAGATTCCTTATCTCAAGAAAGAAGTGAATCATGTCCATAAGTTGATGAAGGAGCACAAAGAGGATTGGGCAAAGTATGGATGGTCTATAATGTGTGATGGGTGGACGGATAGGAAGCATAGAACTTTGATTAATTTCTTGGTGAATTGTTCTAAAGGAACCATGTTTCTTGAGTCTATTGATGCATCTAGTTACTCAAAGGATGCAAACAAGATTTTTAACTTGCTTGACAAGTTTGTTGACAAAATTGGAGAAGCTAATGTGGTCCAAATTGTCACCGACAGTGCTGCAGCAAATGTATTGGTAGGTAAAATCCTCTAGCTCTATTGCAAATAGTGTGCTTTTGTTTTGGTTCTAATTGTTTAAACTGGTATGTTATAAACTTGCAACTTGTAATCTTATAGGGAAGTTTTTGGAGGCAAAGAGACCCCACTTGTATTGGACACCTTGTGTAGCCCATTGCTTGGATTTAACATTGGAAGACATTTTCAAATTACCCAATTTTAAGAAGACATTTGAAAGGGCAATTGGGGTACACAGTTATATTTATAATCGTCCATCTTTGTTGAATATGATGAGGAGTTTCACTCAATTGAAGGAGTTAGTGAAGCCTGCTAAAACCCGATTTGCAACAGCTTTCTTAACTTTGCAAAAACTTTATCAACAAAGGAACAACTTGAGGAAGATGTTTACTTCAGAGGAGTGGACCAAAAGCAAATGGGCGAAGGAGCCGCAGGGTAAGAAGGCAGCTCAAATAATGCTAATGCCTTCATTTTGGAATCATGTTCACCTTGCCCTTCAGTTTTCATGTCCTCTTGTTCATGTACTAAGAATGGTTGATGGTGAAGAAAAGCCTCCAATGGGATATATTTACGAGGCTATGGATAGGGCTAAAGAAGCTATTGCAAATACATTCGATGGAAAGAAAAAGAAGTATAAAGAGATCTTTGAAATCATTGATCAAAGGTG